TTTTTTTTCCCGATGGACCACGGATCAGATATTAAACTGATCAGAACAGATACTACACTTGATCTTAGCCAAAAGGCCGAGAAAGGTATTCCCTCACTCTTTCTGGAATCTGTGATCAGAGGATTGTAACCGTGATCACAATGGCACTTAGAGGAATGTATCCAGCCATTTTCATGGCCCAATCCGTGTTTCCATTTTCTTTTTTTGTTTCTCGTTTCTGGAATCTGACAATCTGGTCACGAGGCTGAGATGCCCTCACTGAGAGCACACTCACACTACCACTTCCAAGAGTGTACACAACTGCAATCACGACGTGAGTCTCTCCTTCGTTTTTTTCCCCTTGTTTTGTGAGTTTCACGGCCGCAACTTTTCTTGTTCCTTTTTTTTTTTTTTTTCCCTGTGAGAGTACCATAAAGAAAATGAAGTGGGGCCCAGGTTCGGCGCAGTGAAATTCAGGGTAGGAAAAAACAGGCTTGGAGGTACTAGTGGGAAACAAAAAAAAAAAAACCCACCCTTGGGGCCTGGCTGCAGTGCTCTCCACATGTGCAAAAGACAAAAAAATGCCAATAGTGAGAGGATGAGATAGCTGCGTACTACCAAGAAAACTGAGATATTACAAAAAAAAAAAAAAACTGAGGGCACGCTCACACTGCGTTAGCAAATCCATATAAATTGCGAAAATGGGTTGGGCCGAATTGGGGTATTTGGGACGTTTCAGGTCACACTGCGTTCACACCGCGTTCCCATTTCGCTAAAGACACGGTCGCTACCGTGCCATCAGGGTGCTGCTGTTTGGGGTTTCCAGTCACACAGAAGTAACCCCAAATATAGAACGTACATGTTCCCTTTTCAACTTTGCATTCATTTACAAAAATTAAATAAAAAAAGAATAAGGATTTTGCGGTAACCTCTGGAGGTTACCGCAAATTCCTCAAACCCGCGGCCAGGCAGGCCACTGACAAATGGGTTTGCGAATGGGGTGTTTGGGGTCGGAACCATTGTGTGTGACCAGCCGTGTGCACACTTTTTTGGGAGTTTTACGGTTTTGGTACCCAGTGTGAGCATGCCCTGAGATAGATGAGGGAAGGGAAAAAA